TCTCTTTAGGATGACATTTAGGATTTCTGGTATTACAGAAACATGTTTCCTTACATAATAATAATAATAAAAAAAAATCCTATCTTGTTTTAGGATAGGAGTTAAGCTATTACACAACCATCCTAACTGAAGAATTTCCTAAGTTAGGAATCGTTAATTAGGATGCCACAGACGCTGTCCTACATTCCAAATAGGGTTGGGCAATATACCATTCGATATCGATAATTATCAAATCATTACTTCTTTCAAGTTTAAAGGGTGATTTTTACTTTGTTATTGAGGAAAATTATATTGTGATAATGAATTGTTTTATTGCCCTAGCACCACTCTTGTTAAGTCTGTATGGTAATTACAGTGAAGATGGGGAACAACATCAACACCTAAATATAATGATTTTAAAGGCAAATGAAACCATAGATGATGCTTGAAATTTCCCGGACCATGTATTAATGGGTATATATTGATTGCCAAGACCATTCATTTTGAATTTTGATCAATGTCCTATGTCCATTCAGATCTTTGTCCGATAATTTGGAAGAAAGCTTCCCAAAAAGGTGGGGTTTCCTCTCCTCCACTGACACGATTTATGCCTCCTCTAAAATTGAATGGCAGTCTTTTCTCATCCTTTACAGCAAGCTAGCTAGTCAGTGACAAGTGAAGTGAGACTTAGTCTTACAGTCTTATATACATTGTAACCACAAAAAGGCGTGACAGGGCAAGTGCCGACTGAAGAATCAAAGTTACAGTTCTAGGATAGGACACAGGATAGGATTAATATTATCTTTGAAACTTAGGATAGGACAAGCAGTTGGGATTATTTCCTGTAACACATCAACAACACCTTCTTATGCAGTTTCAGTTCTTCAGTCATCTGACAAAACTTGCAAACAATGTGATGCTGAGTAACTGTGGCATGGTGCAAAAGCAAAGTGAGCTGTAATGGACAGATGGGGATAGGATGTTTGGAGCACAGTGGGACACAAAGAAGAACCAGTTGAGGTCATGACCTTTTAGAAGATTGCGGCAAGTTTTTGGGAGCTCGGCTTTCGTTCCGTTTAACTTGTCTGGTAAAAAATTAGCAAAAAAAGCTAAGTTAATCAATTGACCAGTCTCCCAAATGGTTGCACACCTTTTAAGAGCAGTAAAGAAATATAACAGATGGAGAAGTCAAAGCAGAGGGATGTAATGAAACAGACTGAGAAGGAAACGGGGAGTGGAGCAGAGTTAAGGAGGGAGTGGCTCCTGGAAGTGGGTCACCGCGGCACTGACGTGATACAAAGTGACGTGCAGGGAGGGGGATGGACTCGCGCCACTGTCTGCGTCACCTTTTGTCCTGCGCACACACTCAAATACACACATGCTCTCACATTAAGATACATCAGCTCAGTTCATTGGGTAAACAACACTTGCGCAGAGGTAAAAATAGCTTACTTGTGCATTGTACTGTAAGGACAAGGTTTCCCCTCCCTCTCTGAACTATTTGCTGCTTAGTTGGACACTTTTACTTTCTTATTACTTCACAGTGCCTTGTACTCATTTTATCGGCTCTTAAGATCGCGTTCAGGTTATGTATAAGTAATAATGGCCTCTCCCAGGGTGCTTGTTATGGATAAAAGAGTAGATGCAGGGCTGTGAGTTTTGCAGGGTAATCTTTGTGGCTCAGCTACGCGATCCCCGTATGATCTGTTGCTTTTCCTCTTGCTTCATGGAGGAGCAGCAAGGACAGCATGTGAAGCCGGAGGGATGGAGGGAATATAAAGATGGAGGAGTGGCCTTGGGGATCCAGGGAACAGTTTAATTGCCTGACCCCTCTCTCACCAGGATGACTCTCAGGAACTGGGTGTTAAAGAGAGGGTGGCGCTGCAGATCCCTGCGGCTCTGGCCATGTGTACAGTGTGTGTGGTTGTGTGTTTGGGGGAGGTGTCGAGGCATTTGCGCATGGTGTGTGTTCCTGTGAGTGTTCCCACGGTAGATGTGCACATGTTCACGCAGGACCACTTAATCATATCATGTGTGATGCTGAAGTGATGCGGTATTGAGATTGAAACATAATAAATCAAAGGCTTCGAGATGGCGAGTGGAAGGGAGACATGGTGCTGTGCTATGTGAAGACGAGACTTTCTCACTCAGATTCCTCACTTTAGGCCAATTTTGCCTGCGCTATATATCAATATTTATCTTTGATTGCTTATCTTGATTTTTTTTGTTTAATTCCGTTCTAAGGAGATAAAAATAAGCCTGACAGACTCAGATCACTTTTGAGTTTATTGGATTAGAGATGGCGAGATCTCAATCTCTGTAAGTAATCTAAATATACACACAAGTGAGGAGGGGGATAAAAAGCAATGAACATTCACCCCACCCTCTCTCTCTGGTGCTTCTCTCTTTGTTGTTGAGTGTGCTGGTGATGACTGAAGGCTGAGGAACCTTCATCCTAATCGGCTTCAGATCTGGCCGCAGGTCAGGCCAGCAGATGAATCCAGATTAGGGGGTCACAAGGCATGAAGAGAGGATTACCAGCTCTGGCCACTGCAGCCTCCTCCTCTAGCTGTCCAATTGCCATCTAAACAGCCAACTGACATCACTGTCTGCACAGGACCTCCTAAAAAGTCAAGGGGCTGGACAAATGTAGGCCTGCGGGCACTGCTTGGGATACTGTCACTCACCTGTTTGCCCTCAGGTCTTGGGAAAAGGATAATATTGTAATTTATGTGAAAAGATTAGATTAATAAATAGGTGATTCTGTTTCTAACTTATTTCAAAAGAGACATTTGTGATGCTGGGGTCACATTGATGCATGTCATGCTTTTTAACATGTGTACATGCACACAAGAAACCGACATCCGTCATCATCCTCTCCTATATTATTGAACAAAGGCTGGCAGGTTTCATGTGCATTAATGACGCGGAGCACTTGGATTGATGCTGAAGTGAGAGGACAGGCTCGGTACTGAGAGAGCCCACAGCGCTCGTCTCTGAATTTCACAAAAAGTCTGCTGTTCAGCTGTGAAAACCCACTTTTTTTATTTAGCATTTAAAGTTTTTAATATTGAATTTATGCAGAATAGCGCCCCCTGGTTGCAAAGTGCTGATCAACTGGATTACTTGAATACCTTGAACAGGTTGGGTAAACCTGTTGGGGTCAGTTAAATATAACCAAACTAATGTCAGAATGACTCACTGATGCAACAAACTGTGATTTGTGTGTGTGTGTGTGTGTGTGTGTGTGTGTGTGTGTGTGTGGTACCCTACAGCAGTGGCTTTTCATCTGCATCTGAACACAAACCAGCATCCCCACTGGCTTTGTTATACCTCCCATCACCCTCTCCACTCTCTGTCTGTCTGTACCTCCACTTAGAAAACAAAATAAAATAAAGCTGTGTGCGCACTTGTGTGCTCCCGACTAGTTGCCGGAGTGCGGTTCCTGTGCGTACCTCGGCTTTGATCTCACTGTAAATTAAACATGTCTTTTTAGATAACAGGCTCTGTGCCACCTACTGAGTCAGGCTGCACCTCCACGCTTCACACAGCTCCTGTCCCTGGTTTGAACTCGGTGGAGTTGATTCATGTTATTGCAGAATGCTACTTTATCAGGATCAACAACAGTTGGGGGAATCTCTGCGGTGCAATTAGGCCACTTGTTTTTCAGGTGTACACAATATAGAGATTTTGTAGTGAATCTCAAATATAACACTGTCTGTTTCACGATGAGTGGCACGGGGAATGTGGGCCAAACTGGGACATGGCCGCAGTAAAGTATGAGGTCAAAAGTTAGGTCAAGCTCTACTAATCTGGGTGGGAACACTCAGTGCTTGACCCTTGACATCAGGCTACAACTAGTTTTTTTAGCACATGAGGGCTTTGTACAAGATATTATACATGGTAGATGGATTTGCAGAATAGCTCTAGCATTAGTTAGCAGCTTAAATTTAGGGCTTAAACAGTGAGTTGGTTAATCAATCTGTCACTACATAGAAAATTATTCGCCAGGAAGGAATCATAAGAATCAATGCTTAATATTTGCTGTTTTCAGCTTTTCTCTGTTTTTTAGGATTTGTAAATTGAATATCCTGTTTTTTGACTGTTGGTCAGTCAAAACATGCAATTTGACAATGTAACACTGGCTCTGGGAAATAGTGATTTGCTGTTTCATAAAGATAACCGACAGATTGATTGAAAATAAAATTAGCTGTTAGTGGCTTTAGTGAGACTGAGACTGAGAGCCGCTAGCATGGATTTAGAGTCTTGTTCACTCTTTTCAGACACTTTTTTAGACAAAAATATTTTATTAGTTGTAAAGTGACAGATGGGTAAATTGGAGCCCTTCTTCTTAATTAATTTCTCTGATACTGTTTTGTCTATCAGGGCCTCTCAATTACCTGCTGATACTTAGGCCAGAAATGTAAACGTGTGGTCCAGTATGCTAAATCAATGGTTCTTAAAGTGGGTTCTGGGGACCACCAGGGGTCCTTGAGAGAGTTTTAGGGGGTCCATAAGAAACATAAAGACAGAATGTATGACCATTTTGGTCTGTAATAAAACATCTAAAAGCAAAAATGCAATCAGATGAAGGACCTTGGGACAAAGTCTTATCGAAGATACGGGGTCCATGGTCTAATATGTCAGTTTAGGGGTCCTTGATGTGAAAAAGTTTGAGAACCACTGTGCTAAATCATGAACAGCAAACCGCTAAATCAGACTTCTGCATATTGTTTTTGGGTTGCAAAACTAATTATTTTAAGTGAAGGGAGTTTTAAAATAAAAGATCACTATTCAAAAAAAGCACAAAATATTGTACATATTTAAATGTTAGACTTGAGCCATGATGTAAACTCCTAATTGGAGAATTGTTTTTTGGCTCCCCCAGAGCGCACAGCAAACTTTCAAGCCGTATGTGGTCCTTTTTGCTCTAGTGGCCGTGCCTACCTGTTTTCTGTTTGAGGACTTTGAAATGCTAATCACCTCTCTTTCCCTTCTTTTCTTCTCTCTCTCTCCTCCAGATTCCTCCTCCAACTACATCCGGCAGCTGGAGACTAAAGTGCGGATCCTGGAGGATGATAACAGCAAGCTTCTCTCACAGGTGAGGCACACACACAACAGACACTGTATTGTACATGTCAACGCTATTGCAAATGGTCCAGTCGCACTATTAGCCCAGGCCACTGCTATTTGAACCCTCACTACTCTCACCCTCACCTGTGCAACTTTCCAACTCCCCCAAAACATGTGATAGGCTGCTGTGATGAGATAAAGCAGTTGCCTGATGCCTCTGTGAAGCCACCCCCTCACAACAGGCTGCCTGTTAGTTGGAGAATATGTTTATCTATGTTTAATTCATGGGGAGTCAGTAAGCTTCAGTAGCGAGCAATGATGTTAGCCCCTGAGGCGAACTGTGGGAGTGGGAGGAGAGATGAGAGGAGGAAAGAAGAGGGGAAAGAGGCATTAAGTGACTGTGACAGAGTAAAGCATTTCTCCCAAAGTTGACCTTGCTCTGACTTCTCCCAAATTTGGAGGATGGAGGGCTGAGTGAGTGGAGGTGGGAGTGCGAAAAGGAGGGGGTGAATTTCTGCTCTGGTTCACTTGGAGTTCACATGTCAGTCAGCAGAGGTGTGTGGGTTACATTCACACAACCAAAAACGGTGGACTCACAGTTATAATTTACAACTGATAAATCTGAATGGACCATGTTACGGGGATCAAATTGTGGAACACAACATGGCTCATTAATTATTGGTAAATAATCATACATCGTCTTTTATACATAATTTGTTCTTTTTTATGATTTCATATCATTTGAATGCAAGTCAGGCTGCAGACAGTCGGATTGGAATTTCACAGGTTAAAGTCTGTTGGATTCAAAACCTTTATTAATTTTTTTAAGAAAGTGATATCTCTTTCCCCAATTATAGAAACATGTGTAGGCAAAGAGTGGAGGCTGGAATCACTGATACGAAGCCTAAATGATCCTCATAATTAGCCCTTAGCTGCTACAATTAGGTGCTATGCATCGTCTCACAGCAGTCAAGACATATAATTTCACCCTGCTTCTTAAAGTTGGCTAATACTCCTTGTTCACATTAGAAGTGAAAGTTTTTTTTCTTTTTCTTTTCTTTAGATTTTTAGGTTGGAGTGGGCAGAAGTGATAAAACTTACAGTAGCAAAGGAACACTTTTAATCGAATATTGCAAAATATAAGACAGTTGTGTTGCTATTTATAAGAATACTCCTCTATAAAAGCTTAAAAGTCTTTTTGTTTTTACAGTATCTTCATCTTATGTGGAGCCTAGGAAGAACACAGCAACCAATAGACAATAGTCAAATAATGAACCTATACGCTATTGTGTTTGTCTCTCCCTAGGCTTATAACCGGTATAGTTTATCACAGATACAGACAAAAAAGGTAACTTTCCGAAATGTTCGTCCGCTCCTCTGCTGGTCAACAGGTTGAGCCTCTTTTGCCTTTTCACTGTTACCTGTTTGGTGTTGGGACCTTTTCACAGCTTTGAGCTTGATGCTTTCTCATATGCAGTGGGTGGACACAGTTAAAGCAACACCTGTACAATGCAGTCCAATCTTTTGCTGTAACGTTGGAATGGAATAATGTTGAGTTTATTTTGACACTTTCACACAGGTGCTGGATCAGTTCTGTAGTAATGTTTATATTTTGGGCAATGCGCTTATTTATTTTCTTGCAGAGAGTTAGATGAAAAGATTGATACCACTCTCATATCTGTATGCTAAATATGTCGCTACAGTCAGCAGCTGGTTAGCTTAGCTTAGCATAAAGACTACAGACAGGGTAAGAGGTTCTGTCCAAAGGTAAGAAAAGTCAGCTTGCCAGCTCATCTAAAGCTAACAGCACGTAATATCCTGTTTAATTTGTACAAAAAAAATGTAAAAACAATATGTTGAGGTGGAGTCAATTATTTATTATTGCACAATTTGATAAACAAGATATAACATGTTAATTAGTGAGCTTTAGAGGTGCTGCTATGCAGGTTTTGTTACCTTTGGACAGCTAAGCTAAGCTAAACTGGCTGCTGGCTGTAGCTTCATATTTTCAGACATGGGAGATGTATCAATCTTCTCATCTAATTCGCCAAGTGAATGAGCGATTTCCCAGAATGTTAAAATATATGATCATGGCCATATTCAGGTACTTTAGTGTTGTAATTAATATTTTGCCTATCAAAATACAGTCCAATATAACAAAGTGCAGCCTCAAACACTACAACAGGACTGAATCACTTTTGTGGAAAAGTGTCCGTGTTATAAGCCTGAAGGAATTGGATTGCATTACCTTATAGAGGTGTCGCTTCTGTGTACAGTCCCTGTTATGCTCTGCTAGCATGCTATGCTAATGAATGAGCCCTGCTTGTATGTGACCTTTTTTGGCAGGAAAGCCTTTCTCTGTCCTTGGAGCTGTTTTGCACAGCGCAGTCCGTGTTTGGTACGAGGTACCCTAGGTGAATGAATGCTACATTGTGCTTTGGTGCATAAATGACACACGCTTTTCCTGACTTGTCGGGACGTCTGGTGGGCTGAATAATTTAAGATACGGGGGCGACACAGGTATATCCAGGTATCAATAATGCATGGCTGACAACTGCTGTGTAAGTGCACCTGGAGAATAAAGGAATGTCTGGAGTTAAAAAATACTATCTTGATGATTGTGTCATTAATAAACTTTGCTTTCCACTGAATTGTAAGATTGGTAATGCAAACATAAGTGTACTCAAGTAAGTTATGGAGAAAATAGAAATGGAATTTACTATTACACTTGACTCTTATGCAATAACCTACTTACCAATGTGTCTGAATACTAGCAGGTGGAATTGTTGCAATGGATTAGTTGCCTCAATGGACATATTGCCTAACTTCCTGTGTTATGAAACTGGCCCAGTGGAACTTGTGCTGAGCCTGAAAGAAACAATAGCCTCTTAGTGCTGGAATGTTGTCCCTCCAAACCAGCTTGTCTGAAGGACTTTACTGTACTAAAGGGAGAAAAGAGGGAGTTACCAGCGAGGTCCCACGGTGAATATTAACAAGGGCCTACGTGGCACAGGTGTGAACACAATGAGAAAGACGGGTGTGTGTGTGCACGTGCACGCCCACGCTCATACTGAAACATGCCCAACCACGTGCAAGTACGCAATTTGTTCTTTACCTTTTGTTCCACTTGAATCTCCCATGTCTTTCAAGAGTTACTCATGTCTGTTAACTCACTTAAGTGTGATGCAGACTGTGGCTTTCCCCACAGGCTCACCTACAATCCCTCAACTCCAGCCAGCTTGCAGTGAAAATGCTGTCTGAGACATTGCACATGCATCATATTGTCCTAAAACTCTGAGGGTGCAGCCTGCAGTCTCAGGCACAAATATTAGCATCCTTACCCCGCCAGTTTATGAAAAGAAACACACAGAAATAAAGAAAAGCATTGTTGTTAGTGAGATAGTTAGTCCTAGTATTTTAAGCACGATAAGGAAAAATATAAGTTCGGACTCTACCCAGTGTCTAACACAGGTTACTCAGACTAAACAAAATCTGTTCTGTTCTGCCCTTTTTAGTCAAGGCGGCATCACCCCTGCCCCTTGTAACTCAAACAGGAAATGATGCGTGACGTCCACAGCTTCTCCCTGTCAGCACTGAGAACATTGTGATGGATGGATTGACTGAGGGGCCCGAGTTTTATCCGAGAAGAGTGCAGAGGGTCAACTGTCCCCGGCTGTCTGGCTAACAGATAGCTTTGTTGGTCTCAGTAGTCAAGGTCAACTCGGGAAGGGAAGTAAAATTGGAAATGTGTGTTGGTTTGTTTGTAAAGCTTGCCTTAGCATAGCAGGAATCTACTTGAGAAAAGTATTTCTCATCTTGCTGGGTCTTCCTATTCAGTTGACAGGTTGTGTGTTTATGTCACTCCTCCAGATATGACATTTGGGGTATAGCTTGCTGACAGAAATGAAGCCTGGAGAAATGACACAGAGATGTTAGCAAAGGTACAGAATTGAGGGCATGAATATGGAACCCAAAGGATAGATCAAGAAGTGCCAAGGGATGGATTGTAAAAGGTTAGAGGAACATTGGCAGGATGCTGAACTGGAAGAGGAGAGGAGGGGGACTATCAAAGGACAAAGCAGACGAGGGGAATGCTGATTGTAGCTTTGTGTGTGTGTGCAAACTGTAGATGTGACTGTGCACCTGTGTGTGCGACACAGATAATACACGGGCAGAGTCCACACATTCATAAACGCACACCCACAGCTCATTGGGCTATTTTTGTCTGATCGCTCCCAGGCAGCCACGTGTGTTTACATGCCACGCGCAGAGGGAACACTAGTCCGTGACATGAGAAATGTCATAAGGAACAGTGGTGTCGCCGTGTTCCTGCCTACAGAGAAAAGTTGGGCTGATTACCGCTCCCGGGAACCAGTGGTCTTTGCCTGCTAATGAGGACAAATCTTAGCAACTCTGTCCCTGCGTAATAGCCGTCGATGATGAGACAACGTGATACAGCCCAGCGCACTCAAGTGCCACTCGCGTAGCAAGCCTCAACAAACAAAAATCAGCGGTGCAAATTAAGTGCTCGAAGTAAAGGCGTCAGAGTGACAGTGTGAGCAGGTGCAAGTGTAGGAGGGAGAAAGAACCTCAGGATCCTTAATGAACCATCACTGAGGATAGTCAATTATCACAGATATATTTGTGTGTGTTGTAGGGCTGAATAATCGGCACTGACCTCCCAGTTTGATTTGATTTCGACTCACAAAGTCCGGTATCGGTTTGATTCAATTGAACTTGATTCACTTCTTGATGATTCAGTTACATCCTGGGAAGTGAGCAACACTGTTTTTCCTTGAACCAAAAGTTTGCAAAGGGCACCTTTTTATTGTTGTAAATACATTTCCCGCTTTTAAAACTGGACTGGAAAAAAGGATTTTCTAACAACTACAACATGACATCTGTATTTTTTAGGTCTACATGTGCAAAACAGTTGAGCAAGAATAATAAAAGACCTGCAACACTTGCAAGGGAGTCATGATTATGCATATGTTAAAAATAAGTGCTATCCCATACATCTATGGACTGTCAGTACCAGATGCTTTGACTAAGTACAGCACATCCACTTTAATTATCACTTTGAGTACAGACAGGGCAGAACCTAAAAGTCTGCTCACTAATTCATCTGCATCATCTGTTTGTGTTGACAATAAATTAGGTTATTGGACAACTGTACATTTTTTCGTGTCGTGACATAAAGCAATGTCTTAATGGAATGTAACTGTATTAACACTAACAGATGCTTATACGTGGATTTTTAGTCCTAGTAATGATGGAAAAAGACAAGATCCTATGTGTATTATGTTATTTTGGGTTTTGGATTGAGGGTTTGGATAAATTGGCATAAAGTAAAGCAATCCCCAACATATTTTCAATTGACATGGCATTGAAGCCTAATATCTCTGTTTTTTGTGTTTGTGTGTTTCTTTTGTACCCATCAGCAGTGTAACCCAGGTGACCTTCGTGCACTGAGGAAGGGAATGACCCTCTACCACTCAGAGTCCCAGCTGTCCTCACTGCCCCAGCGCCAGGACGCCATGCACATGGTCAGTACCCTGGAGGCTGACACGCATACTCAAACACACATACAGGCACCCACACCAGAAGGGTGCGCCCTGCGCACATACAAAGACTCACATTGAGGGATACCCACTCATACCTAACTGCTTAATCAGTCATAGTAGTAGACCAACACTATGCCACTGCTTATATAAATGTGGTCTTCGAGAGAAAGGGTTTAACTGCACACACACTTACACACGCATTTAATTGTTGGGAAGAATGTGCCAGTGCCTCCACCCACAGTGGAATCAAGTCAAGTCAGCTCTAATTCACTTTACTTTTAACTCTCCAATTACACCTCCACAGGCAACCCCACTCTCTCTTACACATGACAGGAAGTGAAACACATACACACACACAGGAAGAAAGAGAGATAGAAAGGAGTCAGCATTCCCTTTTCTTCCTCCCATATCCTCTCCCTTCAGCGCCCTTCCTCCTTACTGGAGCCTGTTTGAACTGAATCCCACTATGAAAGTAATAATCCTCTACAATCCACCGCCACCCCTGACCCTGCCAGTGTCTGTGGAGGAGAGACTGGGTAATTGTTTTCTGACTGCTTAAGGAAGGTCAGAGCCGGACTGTCCCACTAACCAGAGGACTGAACCTTGCCGGTGTTAAAATCAGTACTGTGTTTTAAGCACAGGCCGAGTGCGAGGCGCAGGCTGACTGCGTTCAGTGCCGGCTCACACCTTTTTAAGCTTGTGTGTCAAACCTGCCTCCTCATGGAGGTTGGTGCCGTTCAATAATTTCAATGAACCCTGACCCAAGGAGAGGTCTCTCCCTGCAGGAGGAAGGATAAACTGCAAATTGAGTTGATGGTTGTCTTCCCGCATTTAATTTCACAGTGCAGGTTCACATGAAACAAGGTCGTGATATTGACTTGAGCTGTGAATTTTGGCTCATTTGATGTCATTTTGACTGAGACTAGAAAGTGGAAGTGGATTTGTGTGACTACATTTAGTTACATTTGGTCAGGAATTGGTTACATCAGCTGTCCGTAACTTCAGACTTAGCCTTTGCTATAACATCTGATGTTCACTAACTGAAGTTTTTACTAAATTAAAAACACGTTGCAGCGCGCACACACACACACACACCCCTAGTTATCACATTGATATTAGTTGTTAATATTTATACTCATCAACTGCCTGTTTTGATTGAGTGAGAGGTAATATGGTTAAAATATCTGATAGGACTACTTGAAATTATGTTTAATAAAATAAAAGTAAGAAGGTTTAAAATAAAATTTCACAACTACAATACGATTTACCTCAAAATATGAAACATAATGCTAATAATGTCAAACAAAATTAAATAAGTTTGGTTAGGTGGCGTAAAACGATTTCCCTCTCTGCCTGCATATATAAATTAAACAAAGTAAGTCATATTTAAATTTACAATGTCTGGTCAACTAAGTTTAAAGAAATAATTCGATTAAATGCAGGACTATTTCTTTCTTCTTTCTTCAGCAGAGACTTCAGCAAGCTTATGACACGATATGAGCAAATCAGTTGCATCCAGCACAGAACAACTAAGTCTTGTGATTCATGTCCTCTTCGTGCGATGGCTTTGTTTTTGTGACAACTCCACGTAGACGCACTCATGTTGAGCTGTATGGTGATCAATTGCTTCTCTCTGAAGTTCATCCATGTGTGAGAGTGAGCCCTTGTTGGAAGATGGAGAGTAAGAGAAGATGTGAGATGTGGGGACAAAGACTACTGGCAGGATTTGATTAAACTGGACTCTTCGTTGAGTGTACCCATCCTAATCTATCACTTATCTTTTATATTTAGTCCTTTGTCTCATTCGGGCCCAGTTTCAGGTCAGTGAGTGTGCGTGAGACTGTCAGATAGAAAATGAGCAACAAAGAAGAAACGAAAAGATGGATAGAGAAAGAAAGCGGCCAGCCTGGGTGATTCTCACAAACACTGAACAGTCAGTTCTGATTCTGTATGCTCAAACTACAAACCATTGATTCTGACAGCACGCGCGCCCCCCCCCCCCTCCCATCCAACAAGGCCTAAATTTAAGCCTGTTTATACAGGCAAGTCATCCCCAACTGTACATCCATATGAACAGTAAACATTGCCCGGAGCTGGCTGTGTCTCTGCGCTGTCCAAATCCGTTTCTTTACTGCATGGCTCCAGTGCAAAATAAACAGAAACACTCGGCCCGGATGCTAGCAGGGAGTGTTTACACATTTCAAATAATAGCTTTAACCCACAGAAGAGAGCATCAAAAGGAGGCGACAGTGATTTACATGGGGAGGGGGGTTTGTATCTGACTTCAAAGTCTGCTGCAGAAGACAAGTATGGAAAATTAAGCCATCACATGTGTTCCTGTGACCTTAAACAAAAAGAGACACACTTTACTCAGAGGGAAATGTTTGTATTTAACAAGAGGATTGTTATATATGATTTTCTCACAAATATGGACTTTACCTTGGTGACGCATTTAATAACGTGGGGGTGTCATGCAGCAAATGTCTACCTCTCTATATATCACTCCTATCCATACTTCTAAAGAAAGCATCGCTTCCCTAGCCTCTGCTGGAGTAACCCTGTGCTGCCCTGCATGTTTCATCCCTCCCTGCTCCAACACAGCTGATTTAAATGATGAATGAGCAGCTTGTTGTCAAGTACTGTCAGGAGTTCATAACGAGTTGAATGTTTGAATCAGCTGTGGTGGAGCAGGGAGAGATCAAAAACATGCAGGACAAGGGTTACTCTGAGGTTTGGGAAACCCTTTTTTAAAGGAACTTGCCAGTGGTTTTGCATATTTTACCCTACAAAATAAAAGTCCTGCACACCACTTTCCAAACTATGTTTTTAGATTAACGTCCAACCTTCCAGTCAAGCACTTGTTTCTGTTCATTTTAGCATGTTCTAAAAATCACCTTGCAGACTAGCAGAATTTACTTAAGGTTGAGCAAAGTAGCAGTATTACAATGTAAATTGTGTCCACATAATATCTTATGTAAAAATGAACAGCAGTACATACACTTGCATCATAAGTAAAAATACTCATTATGCAGCAGAATGCCCCCTATCAGTGTTCATTTTTTTTTTTATTTGTATGTCATAAAATTGTCTGATTACTGATTGCTTACTGTGTAAGCAGCGTTTTCATGTTGTAGCTTGTAACCATTTTATAGTGTTATACAGTGTAATTTAATATGAAACAATGCATCACATTTTATAAATTCAGGTAGTAGTGAAATAAAAAGTTAAATATTAAGTACAAGTACAAAAAATTAAAGTGAGTACTTTCAAATAGTTCTTAAGTACAGTGCTATAGCACACTCTACCACTGTTCAGCACAATTAAATAAAAAGATTTTAAATTCGACCCAAGTTACAGGTAGGGAGTGTTTTTAAAAACTCTTGTTGGTGCATTTAAAGGACATTTGAGCATGCTGCGGAACAGCAACCTTCTTAATACCAGAAACAACCACATTCATATTAAGCTTTTCATTTTGTCCATGATTTTCTGATATCAGAGCTCATGAATGAAGCACCTTATGGCAAACGACTGTCATCTCCATGCTATCAGGGCATGTTTGACTTTTTTTACCTGTGTAAAAAAAAAAGGCAAAACTTTTCTTCTCTCTCACAGTTAAAGCATATTGATGAGCTTTCACCAGCTAAGGAAATAAATAAATGTAATTAAATTAAATACAAACTTGCGGTTGTCATGTGAGCAGTTGTCAGGCCGTAACCTGCAGGACGAGCGGAAGAAAAATCAATTTTTCATGTGGTTGATTTGATGTGAATAGACTGTTGGGCTGTTTCCACAAAACATCCCTCTTGGCTGCAGTGGGATTATTATTTTATTTCTCTGCTATGAGGTTGTGTGGGCTCATTCTGGCACCTAAATGGGGCCAGCGGGTGCGGAGGGAGCTGACAAATGCATCGCTAGTGAGCAGAGAATTGAACCCGGGCTAACAGAGCCATGGAGCTGTGTCTAATGCAGGGCCCTGATGCCAGGTTACAGTGAATAGTGCCATTGTGTGTCCCAGAGATCTCTGTGTCCCTCTAACAGAGAGCCACTGTCTCATCCTAACCGGGGGGTAGGATGAGTCAAGCAACCCCCCGGGTCCTCTTCCTGGCTGGCTGCTCCCATCACACCCGGTTAAATCACTCTGTGCAGGTAGCAGACCTGGCTGGGAGTTGAAAACGGGGTGAATGCAAAAAGGGAAAAAAACACAAGGGAAGGAGAGGTGATTTGAGTTGGGATGAAAGGGGTGGCATTTCCAGTGGTACAGTACAAGAAAAGTCTTCTGTTAAATCAGAACCAAACACCCACTTATAAGGAGAGCGTGGTTTAATTTGGGTGAAGGTTATTGGATGTGGCTCAGATGAAGAGCTCCGTGGGTTAAAGTATGTGTGACAGCAGATGAGAAAGATCACCAGTTGTTGTGTTGGTATAGACCTGTCCGTTAACCTTTGTCGCAGGTCACCCCTTCTCTCACATCTTTTCTCTTGCTGTGCACTGTCTACTGTGGAGGAAATGACACAAAACCTTGTTTTATAAAAATTTTAATGATTTTTTTCCTTTGTCTTCTCGTCCTGCCCCAGGGTACTGGCCGTCTCCCAACCAGCGAGTCCTCTCCTGCCACAGGCTACCTGTCCTGCGTCCAGAAGCCTGAGGCTGTGGTGCATGCCATGAAGGTAATATTCACTTAGGAAATTAGATTTTAAGGAAATTGTGGTGTTTTTCTAGTGGAAATCCAGTTTTGTTAGCTACAAAGCCAATGCTGTGTTTATCAGTGGAGGAGCGCTAACGTTGTAATGAGCCGTTAAACTATAGTTTCTGACGTATTCTAAATATATCTTCAGGCCGCCTGTCTGCAGTTAGTCGGCGTGCTTGAAATGATTAAGCCAGAGCGGACATGTAAATAAATGTGAGCTGAACAAGAATCACGGCTTCCTGTAACTCCTCTTTTTGTGACATTGTAGATGTGAAACTCTGTAGTCAGAGCCGTAACGGCTCTGGTTGTAGTTATAACGTTAGTTAAATGAAATCTCAAAGTTCAAACATTCCTGTAGTATTAGATGCATTCAACAGCAGCTCACTGTATCCTAGACGGCATGATTTATACCGATGGTGGTTAAATGGTTTCACGTAGCTTTGGTTAGAATTAAAGAGTGCTGGTAAAGGGATGAACTAGATGTGAATATGCTACATTGAAATTATGGCAGATTATGTGTAAAGTGAAATACACATGCTTATTCTCTCTCTGTTTACAGACCGCTGAAGTTGCACCTTCCAGTAGCAAATATTTATTGATGTGCAATTGTTTACATGTTCACTTTTTGAGACTGTAATCGATTTTATTAACATAATCCATTCAGGAAAAGGTTTTATAGCCCACATACATACTAGTTTTCAATATTGGCCTGTTCTAAGTGTTATACAGTAAAGGGGTCTACTATCCAAATCATTCTTAAAATCAAAATATCGGCTCATAAATCGGCTCTTTTTCACTTTAATATCGGCATCGGCCCCCAAAAACCCATATCGGTCGGGCTGTACTTTTTGCTGCATACTCTGCTATACTGCTGTTATGGCTTCAGAAAATGCTTTAGCCAAATAAACAAATGTTTTTCAAATTGATAAAAGAACTTATTTATATTACACAGCCAAGGGGCACAACACCAGACCAATATGAACAAATCTGAGACTCCAGGTTCAGATCTCTGAAAGTGGTTCCAGATTCAGAAGTCTGGAACTAGATTTAAAATCTGTGATGATACCAGTGATTGAAATACCAAAATGTAGACTCAATAAAAAAAAAAAAAAGTCAAATGCGTACAAAACTGGACTTATTATTTTAAGTATTTTTAAGCCTCTTTTAAAAACGCACTTTCATCATAAGGCTTATAATGGTTTTGTATTAGCTGCCTGTTTAATTTATTGTTTTTATTCTCGTTTTATGTCCTGTGTAGTTTATTTGTTTTTGTTAGTGAAATAATTGAGAAACCAAATGTTTCACATAACAGCTTCTTGAGAAAACACTTCAGAACATTAATTTTTTTTTGCTTTAGCATTGCTAAAATAGCACTCACACTCCTTACCTATGTGTCCATCTTTAGTGAAATTCACATATTAATGTAATTGGTCACGTTATACACTCATCACAATGTCTGCCGTCAGGTGCTGGAGGTCCACGAGAACTTGGACAAGCAGGTTCCTGAGGACTATGAGGACGATCTCAGTGAGAAAGAGAAGGCCATTGTGCGAGAGATGTGCAATGTAAGTGCAAAACTTGCCCTACTCCCTTAGCACGCCTGCCTTCAAGTCTAGCTTCCTATATCTTATAAGTCTCAGCAGCAACTTTTGTCCTAGGAGGAAGTAAAGCGAGCATGAGGTGAGCTGCAGAACTACCTACATCATATCATTTTAAAGCTAATGTTGAATATAGTCTAAATATTGATGCAAGTAGCAGAAAAACATGTCACACTTTTTCTGTACTATTTTCTTACCACTTCTGTGAACAAAGGAACCTGATCTCCAACATGTTCCTGTTTATTCAGTCGGTCTGTTTTTCTCGCTCTCTTTTACTGGGTGCAAATCAGGTCGGTGTTTGAGCTGCTTTCACTAATAAGGAAGCCTCATTTAGACTCATTTGGTTTGGAATGACACTTGCAGCAGTGTCCCGGGCACAGCACTCCCTCTTGCTTTTTTTCTTTCTCTCCATCTATCTCTCTATCTCCACCCTCCGCCCACTCCCTCGTCCCTGCTCCTGGGCCAACTCTAAACTGAAAGCACTAAGTAGAAGCTCGTAGTTGAGCTGTCAGAGCAATTAAACTGGAGCGGCAGGGAAAAGAGCACTCCCCCTCTCTGTTCTTCCTCTCCTCTGCCCTCCCCCTCATCTCACTCCATCTTTCTGTGTTGGTGCTGAAAGGCCCGGCCCGGGATAAAAGCTCCGCTGATTAGAGAGAAAACGAGAGCCGGGCTATCTGGGCCCTGCAGAGGTATGTGACAGGCCAGGAATCTGGGGAGCATTACAATAGTACCTCTGTAATATCACTGGGGTCCCGCGGGGGCCCCTCTCACTCACTCGCAGAGAGATCTCAGCACCAGAGAGCAGCCTCGCAGAGACGAGGGACAGAGATTCAGAGATAGCTCTACCGTAACGTGTGTGTGTGTGTGTGTGTGTGTGTGTGTGCAGTCTTTGCAGCTCAAAGTCAAACTGTGAGCATTTGAAGTTTTCACTCTCGAAGAAGAAAGTATTTTTTTTCTCCTTCTGCCTAGCGTTGCTCTTTCAGTCTCTGCCTCCATGTCTGCCTGTCTCTTTCTGTATGTCGCGCTCTTCCTCTTTCCCCTCTCAACTTCTTCCTCTCCTCCTGTTTGCAGGTGGTGTGGAGAAAGCTGGGTGATGCAGCAGGATCAAAGCTGTCCGTCAGACAGCACCTCTCTGGGAACCAGTTCAAAGGGCCGCTGTAGCATGGCAACCGGAGAAAGAGAGAGAGATTTACAGTACCTACACTCACCTGAAAACACCTCTTACTACCGGCGCCTACACCACCCATCATGCCGTGCTCCTTACTGCCTACAGCACCCAGCATTCCTTTAACACTCTCTGGCTAAGACTAAGCTACTAAATGGACCTGTTAGTCTGTTATTCACATGTACAAACATGTTTTTATCTCAGAGCTTATGAAGCGTTGACAACTGGCAGCTAGTTTCACTTATTCGCCACGTTTCTTCATTGATTTGGAGGCTTCACTACACAATGATTTCTCTCTGTAAAAGCTGTAAACACATACCGCTTTTAGTCCTTTAGAGCATAGCTGTGCTACACTAAGCTAGCGATATGACAAGGTTGACAGACCTGATTAGGCCGCAGGAACAAAAATCTCTTCACATGTTGCTTTGGGATGTGAACGCAACATTGTAGGGGTGTCTTCGGATAAGTTTTGATAGTACCTCCTATAGAGACTCTAGCTTCTGTCACATGTATCGCCCCCCTCGTGGTCAACAAGTATAACTAGCATTAGCATTCTAAAGTGTTAACTAATGTGAAACCCACTGTGACCTAGCGCCTTTTGCTCATAAGACAAGTCTATGGATAAAAAAGTCTAGAGATCACTGTTATCTTGTGTATATTATGTATAAAACCATACATTGTTATTGTTGATTTTACTTTGATCTATTTTGTATTCTAGCGTGGCCATGTGATCAATTATTTAGTTTGAAAAGCACACACAACCGGACCTTAAACAGGGTTTGCTTTTGTTTGTTTTTTAAATTCTTTTCCAGATTCATTGATATTATTCCTTCTCTCTGTAACCTCTGAAAATGTATCAAGGTCATTCTGAATCAATCCATCTCCACAGGCTAAAGGATAGATAATTTTCTTTGTGAAATTAACTAAATTTGTATGCTGTGTGCATGCTTGACAATCATTTTCTCAGGTTGGGAGGGCTACAGCTTTACCTTTGCCCATCTGGTGACTGTGTGTGTGTGGAAGGAGTCTGAATGGTTCTCTTGCAGCTGTAGCATCTGCCTGTGAATCCTCTTTTTCTCTATTGAACCCTGGTTACAACTCGGTTAAAGACTGCTGAAGGCATTTGCTGAATCCATACAAAAAGTATCATCCTATTAACGGTAATAAAACTGTCAAGGCCAAATACTAAACCCTAAGTTCAGTTAGGATGGAATTTTTTGGATTGCTTCTAATTCCTTGGTTATTTTATATCTCAGTAGATGAAAAAAAAGTTTTCTTAAAGGACTAAACCCTTTTCTGTTGTCATGGATTCAGCAGGTGTGTTCATGCAGTGCATGTTTCTTAAAGTTTAATCTTTTTTTCTTAGAATATAAGAGATGAAGTCTTCCCTTAGATGTCTCCTGAAAACTAACATTTAAAAACAAGCATTTCTTGATGTCAGAATGAACAAACATTATTTGCCATAGTATTTATTGCCAGGTGTCAGATAGAGATGGGAGCGCTATCAGTAACTGAACAGTCATATTTTTAATTTATCAGATTTCCTGTAAGTTATTTGATGGATAAGTATTGTGACTTACAGCTCTGGCTCTCCCATCTCTAGTGTTATTTGTTCCAAATTAGAACATTTCTGAGGCTCCCCGCCATGCACCTCTGTTCCCTCAAATAATGGGTAAAAAATAAATCCAAGTGTGGTTTTTTAAAAGTGTCCTTTTTTCTAGGAACTGATTTGAAGCCATTATACAATTTTGAATACTTTATATATGGCATTTGATTTTAAATGTGCCACATTTTTCTGCATGGTGTTTTGATTTGGAACCCAACTCTTTTTTAAAACATCTATAGTGTTTCTCTTTTTCTGCCTATATGCTAAAACCAGTACAGAATCTTAGAATCTACAGTGTAAATGTCAATTCCTGTAGTAACTAGCATGGCTGAAACTTCTTTTCATGAATTTCACTGATAAGATGGATTTATTTGGCAGGTGAAAAGAAAACAGGAACTAGGCCACCTTTAGAAAACTTTGGAAAAAAATAAACAAAGTTGGTTAATGATACTGTGGAGTGCTGTCTTTATTTGATGAAGCAAACATTTTTGCAGGTTTTTCAGAGCATGAGTTGACTGCCCTCTGTTGGTAAAGTACTGGAAGTAAAACTACTTATATGATGTTCTGTACATTAGTGATTCCCAACCAGGGTACAGTACTGGGAGTGGAAAGCTTAAAAAAATAAACTTAACAATATAAATAAATAAATACTTTATAAATAAAATATGTAAATCAACTAGTAAGTTATTACTAGTATGGTTAAGCAGTTGAAATAGCTTAAAGTAATGGATAGACTGTTTAAATAGTTAGCTAAAGAAATAGGGGCTAGAAGTATGGATAAGCAATTGAAATAGAAAGTAATGGATAGTTAGCTTAAAGTCATGGATAAACGGTTGAAAATAGCCTAAATCAATGGCTAAAGGTAATGGATAAAGAGTCGAAACGGTTAGCCTAAAGTCATGGACAGAGTTGAAACAGTTATGCTAAAAGTAACAGATAAACAGTTAAAATAGCTAAAGTGAATGTTGAAATAGTTAGCTAAAAGTACTGGCTAAGGAGTTGTCATAGCTAAAAGCCATGGATAAACTACATAACATCCAGTTTGTAATCCATCCATTGATAAAAACATGAGTGACATATAAACGCAGGTCTCTATTAGAAGCCTGATCTGTTTTTTATAGAAGTTCTTTGGATGTATAAAACCTTAAAACCCACTGGGTCACCTGCTTGAGCTCGTTCTAAGCTGCTTAGATCATGAATACCAATATAAATATTTAAACTTTTGTGAATATAGACGTGAGACACATCATTAGATCAGTTAGATTCTCCACAACCGTTTAGTTCATTTTACAGAAACAAATGCGCACCAATGTAGTTCATTCAGATTTACTAGCATGGTCAAGGCATGTAAGGCTTGTCTCATAGTGACATCTGTTTCCAATATAAGGAAGTGAGTTCGATTATTTAAGTATGTTGGTAGACAAAAATACTGTGAATGAAAGCATTTGCAACTTAATGATCCACTCTTTGTCACCTTATACAGACTGAACGCACACCAGTCAGTTTAAAGTAGGAAAAGCAGGTCTTTATTGTCCCAAGAACCTCTCAGACACAAAACCAAAGCTGCGTGCAGCATACAGGAAAAAGAAGCCTGACTAAGGCACATGTGGACAAAAACTCTGAAAAAAAGCCTAAATGAGAAGGTCAGATATGTACAAATATACCTTAGACTGCCCATGGTTGGTTTGATAATGGGGTTTATGTACTGTAGTTCATGTAATACTATCTGCAGGGCAGATTCACTAAAAATAATGTTACAAGAAATAACGATGCGATGAAATTACAAAAACTGACATGGTCTTATGGTAGCGGAAACATCTTGTAACATGGCCGCAGTGTTTTCACTGAATGGAAAGTAATGTGACAAAAAGGATAGACATAAAGTTTGAGTAAACTGTATGTTAACGAACATCTCATTTAGTGTGACAGTGCTTTTTCTATTTGACTACTGCATGTTCAACCATCTCAAGATTTCATTACGCTCCGTTTTTCTCATCAAAAAAGTGGGAATGTGGAAAAAAAGGAAAATGGATTGCAGGGGACAGGACACCGTAATATTCATGAAAACCAAAAACACAATCGGGTTAATAGAATATAGAAGGAAATATGGTTGAGTTACTTCAAGGTAAAGTAAAACCACCCTAAAACTAGTGAATGAGAATGTGTGACAAAACCAACAAAAAAATAAAAATCAGGGTGCTAATATTTTCTGGTCCATTTCCAGAACAATAGCAACAAGTGGACAGTGTTTGTTACAAGATCCTGGAACTACGCACATTAAGAACCATCCTGTACATGTTTAGGCAATTTATTTCAGGATCACTGCAGTCTTTCAGTGCCAGTTCAGGTTCTCATAAAAATACTGTCCAGACCTCAAAATTTGTTGCCTTCATTAAGAACCTCTTGAACATTAGTCATACTGGAGGTGAACAAGCTCTCCATCTGTTTGTACCAGAATAACACATGTTCCTGGTTATTCTCTTTGTCCAGTTCTGCACAGATTCAGTTCAGAAACTGTTGTCACATTCTCATCTCATCCACCCACCACGGTTCAGGGGCATGCCAGGCGGAGGGGGCAGGGGCACCGGAGACTGTCCTGGGGGCACGGGGGGTGGAGGAGGGTATCCAGCAGGCGGGAGACCTATACCCGGAGGGGGTACATGGCCTGGCGGCATGCGTGGAGGCGGTGGTGGAGGGTAGCTGTTGTATCCCGGTGGCGGATATGTTGGCGGCAAGTTGGGTGGCGGGTAGTTGGAAGGAGGAGGGCCTGGAGGTGGTGCTGCAGGCGGTGGATAGGCGTGGGGGTGATATGGTGGTATTGGGGGTGCGTAGCTGGGCGGCATGGGGGCGTAGGAGGGACCTTCTGTCTTCATCATCGACTGCAGGCTCTGGTACCCTTCTCCGGACATGTAGGAGCTGGTGGTGGACATGATGTAGTTGGAGGGTGGAGGTGGAGGCGGCCGATGCGGTAGGGGAGGGGGCTGATGTGGAGGTGGAGCGTGCGGGAGAGGAGGAGCTGTTTCACTTCCTGGTTCTGCTTCTGTGGGAGGGGCTGGAGCAGGGGCTTTACGTTCTAGTGAGTGAAGAGAAAGCAACTTGTTAAAAATGTCGAGGCTACCAATTCTCTTCACGATCTCAAATAACCTCTCCATTCCCAAACAGTGAGCACACAGCTAGACCAAGACTGCCAGGCTTCCGCCACATAGGAGGTCTCATTATCAGGCTCAAGCACTAATCAGATTGGTCTGGGAGAGGGTAGGAGTATGCGTGTGTTGGGAAGCATATTGTCCAGACAAGTTGCTGGTTACGTAAGCAGACTAGGGAGACTAAACACTTTGGCTTGTTTTCTAAGCTTCAGTCCTCGGCAGGGGGTCCTGGCTACTCATTATGGGCCTATTTGGTGGCACACGCAAACAGACAGTGGGCTGTTGAGAGCACACTGGCACGTCCTCACAAACTGGACTGGATGAAGACGGTAGACAACAAAGAGTCAGTCTTACCTGGGGGAGGCTGCGATGTAGGCAGAGGGGGCATGGGGCTCTCCAGTCTAGGAATCTTTGATCCAACTTGTTCTGTAAATCAAAACAGACCAATTAATAAGATCCAAAAATTATTTAAAATCAGTGAATGCATTAAAAAGACCTTTGCTGTAGGTAAAAACAAAACAAAGCTATAACCTTTTTTTTTTTAAATAAAAACCTAAAACCTGCCAGGAACATACTAATCCCAGCCACTTAGAATCTACAGTCTATATCTGTAATCTTGCAAAGACTAAATTGATGTCATTTTAATTAACTTAATTTGGGATTATTTCCGTGGATGACCAGACATTTAACGAGATTTCAGCAGTTTTAAAGCCCAAATGAGCAGAATTTCGCCTGCATGAGGTTTAACAAAAGTCTTACCTGGAGCCTTTGGTTCATCTTTTGGGGATGTCTGAAGAAAAAGAAAATGAATGCAAATACTCAGATCCCACTTTGACGTAGGGTTGTGTTGATATATGAATCAAGTTAAATACACATACAAGATGTAGGATCCTGATATTTTAAATAAATGTAGAAATTTGAACTGGGGGGGATATTCTACTAGACACAGATTTAGACAATCCAAATTCAAGCGTATAATTACATGTGAACGTTTTAGCTGGCGTGCAGGGCTGCCACCCTGAGGGGAAGTCTTCTTTGGTGGTGGGGGAGGAGGGTTGGCAGCTGGTGGTTGTCCCTGTGGGGCTGGAGGAGCAGGGGCCTGAAGAACAGGTACCCGCTCCTTCTCCTGCATCTGCTGAGGGATGGGCTTGTTTCCCTGGGAGTACAGGTCCAGGATCTGGTGGCAAATGTCTCAAAGACAAAGACATGTTTTTGTTGAGACAAGTATGAAAGGAGATGAAACACTGTAGGACAGACATGAAGTGTCGCAGCTTTATGATGAGTACCTTCAAGCAGCTCAACTGGGACGTCCTGGACAAACTGCTCCCACCAGCGGCGGGACGACTGCTTGGCGGTCCACTCCTGGATGTCAAACTTACAGAGGCGGCCGGCCAGGTACATGACGGCTACCGCAATAATCTCTGGTTCCCACTGAAGAGACAGCATGGTGCACAGGCTGCCAGGGACACAGACAATGTGGTTATAGTCTTCTCTCAGTTTTGTCAGCTACGAGGAAAATGAAACTCTGGAACCTTAAAAAACAGACTATTTCCTAATTTTATTCCATTCTGTGCTCCTATTTTTTGTTGCTTTGACTTATAAAGAGAGGCAGACAGGAAATGTGAGAGAAGATGATAACATGATGCAACAAATCCTAATAAATAAACATTTCCTGGACTATAAAGCCTGTTATAGTAATATTTCTATTCATCAGAGCACATATTTAACAGCCATCATGTTAAGAGTTGTAAAGACAAAGCGTATTCTACACATGACAAGTCTGCTGTAAAATGAGGGTAGTTTACAGGCTAACTGCTCACCTGTCATTGACAAATGTCCATGCCATCTGTAGCACCTTGCACACTTTATTCTTCTCACCTTTAAGAAGGAGAAAAAAGATCCATATGCTTTCCAGATTCCTCAAAGCAAAACGTATCACACTCTGTGAACATCTAATGCCATACTTATCCCATCTCACCTTTGAGTTGCTTGACATAGCGCAGCAGGAACATGTAAGGATGCTCCACCTGCAGGTCAAATTTGATAGTCTGGAGCAAAATCCTCTCCAACACCATCACCTCTTCCTGATGAAAAAAAAAAAAAAAAAAACCTTACAAAACACAGTTGGAAAAACTTACAAAAGACATGCAATACTCGGTAGTAACTTCAAATAAGGTGCATCTCTGTATCCTGTAGTGATTTATTACTATTATAAGTTGATTTTTCTGAGGCTCTTGATGTAAATAGCTGTCAGTTGCCCAGCAGTTCACGGGCATGGATTAAAATGGACATAAAAACATAAAC